CTCTTTTTCTATCAATATTGCACTTCCTATTTCCTTATTATTCTTGATCAATGGCAGGAGGAAGCGATCTCGCCATCTTTCAAATAGTTCCTCAAGGGTGACTCTATACTCTCGCTTCATTGAGATGGATTATGAAGCAGCTTATCAAAGGTACAAAATAGTTGGGATTACTATCTCCCAGACTTTCAATCCACACATTCTTTCCTACCCTATCCTAGATCTTTTTGCACACACTTCTTTCACCTTCCTTCTTACTCTCTCTATCCCATTCAACTCCGAGCTTCTTTTTGAATTTTTCGCTGGCCTCCGCATTAATTCTTCTTTCATTGTTCTGGGTCCTATGTGAATCGACACCCCATCGATATCATATATCATGATTATACAGAACTTTTGGAACTTTCCACCACAGGGGACAAACTCCATATCCTTTGTTCTGATCCTGATTATGGTTGGGCTATAGCCAACCATTTTCATAAAAATACCTATGCTTACTTTCACATTGGAGAGTCTAGCACCTTACTTAAAGATGCTAGGACAATCCAGTATATCCTTCGCACCTCAATTCTTCTTAAAGCTGGTGATTGTGTTCATATCACCCCTCTTCTTTCGATCACCACTTTTTATATTTTTGCTCGTCGAGAATTTAATGCCACAGATTTTATCTTTTGCTACATTGAGCATCTGACCACTATTTGAGATCAAGGACATAGGAGGAAGCCCAATCTTACTCTAGGACATATCATTGCCAATGTTTTAGAATCAAAATACAACCTCTAATGTCCTGCTTCACCAAATTTTCATTCTGCCTTCTACTCAAACAACTCCTTCCACATTCTTTATAGTACTTGTCTCTACCTAGGGCTTGAGGAAGCCGACAAAACTGAGGAGGAGGCAACTCCTGCACCTATCCTGCACCTACTCCGCTCTGCCATCACTCTCAGCTGGATCAGCTGGTGGAGCGATTTGACCAATGGGAGCTTCGCTTCGAGGTGTATGTTGCTGTGTAGGAGCAACAATATACTTAGGACATTATTTGCCTGCAGCACCAGCATGACTAGGATAAGGTATGGTTTGGAGAGCAGTTTGCCACTCTTTTAAGTTACTTTTAGCCACATCCACCTCCATCACCACCTCCTTCAGATGACCAGGGGCCATCATTCTTTTAGTTTTTTTATGTTGTTTTTTATTATAGTTTGATTTTGTTTGGTAGTCTCTGCTTTGTTTCTTTTCTAGTTTCCCTCTTCCTTTTTGTGATGTCAAAAGGGGGAAAAGTTAGTTGTACTATTTGTTATGTAGTTTGATTATGTTATTGGATAGTTAATCTATTTCCATTAAATTGCCTTGAACTGCTTAGATTATTTTTTGGTTTCCCATCATCAAAAAGGGGGATATTATTGCAAATATAATTTTATGGACTAGAATTTTGATGATATTTGTATCGGCTAGGATGATAGGCTCAAATAAAAAGAATCAGCTGCCAGATCTGTTTAGGTATTATTTATTTTTGGACATCATCCAGGATATCATCCAAGACATCATCCTGGATGATGCAACACAATTATGCCTAAATTAATATACTTATTAAGGAAAGTAATTAAGGTTTTCGTAGCA